AGACGTCGTAATACTACACCACAAACTTACAAAGTGCTCTTGCTTCATCTTATTCTATTTCACTACAGCTTTTACCTAATTTGAAATGAGATCAAACATAATAATTATGATGCACTTAAAAATATAAAATCGAAATTAAAATTATCGATTGACGTTTGAAAATCAGTAGATATTTAGTTTCTTTTGAAAGAATAAAGAATTAGGTATTATTATTTTTTCATTCATAATTATCGACTGAGAAAATTAATGAAATCCTTTATTTTTACATTCAGAATTACCTATTGTTTTAGATGCATATGATATACTTACATATAAAATAGCTTATGACGCAAATGTAATATGCATATCTAACGCGTTATACCCTGTACCGCTGTCCTCCGTGAAAACCGACGAAAATATAGAAATAACGACGCGTGTACAATATAATATGTATATCATGCATAAAAGCACTCCAATATATGTTTATCATTTCTTTTGTACGTTTTGTTTTGTTTTTTATTTACCATTCTACCTTTCAATATTTCTGTAATATACGCGTCTGCACAAAAACATTCATATTATTTACATAGGTATTGTCAGTATATAGTGCGTGAAGTATACCACAAAACAGCTCAGCCAATCGTTTGATATTTATGCTTATAATAATAACCGTATACCTCCTATAGGTAATAAATATAAAAACAAAAACTATAACATATATGATATGTATATAAAAAGAGACAGGCTGCAAAGAGAGCGAGATACACACACGAGGTGAAAACTAACAAACATCACAGAAAATATTGTTCAATATTTATCGAAATATATCGAACGTTTCGTATGTATAACACGGAATCTAGTATTAATAATAAAATGTAGATATTATCAACGCGAGAAAAAACAACAATGTGGTATAAATAGACTGAACATTATCAGACGACGGACAATTATTATTGGTTTAAAAACCTCTCTACGATAAATTAAAAGCCTAAATTTGTTTAATTGTCTTATAAAATATTGTTTGAAGACAATAGACATGTAAGCAAATAATAAGTGAGTGATATTTCGTTTTCGTAAGTTTTAAAAAAAAATAATAAAGTTATATTGAACATTAGTGTTGTAAGTGCTTTGTGAAATTGATAGGTAGTCTTAATTTTTTTTTATTGAAAATTTTAATGGACATAATTATGAACTATAGTTAACTATAATTAAAAAATTTAAGTGAACAAAAACTTAGTAAAAATTTAAAACGAAAAGCAGTTAACGACATGTTTGCTAGCTCGTTAACAATTTACATTTTGAACTGAAAAATTATAATATTGGAAATATAACTTTTGAAGACATTTTATTAACAAAAATAAATATCTATGCTCAATCTTTAAAACTACTCGAATTTTCTACTACATCAACACAAATTATGAATTTCATGGACAGTCATCCATTTTTATATCTGTATACCTTTAGTAAAGATATCCTTCAGATAATATTCTTATACAGCTGTTATCATAAGTTTTGATGTTTTTCTTCCGCATCGTAACTGCCGTTTGTCGTTTATATTCCAGTAAAAAAATTATGATAAATCGTGTTCAATGCGTTCTACTCCTATATTACAATATTATTGAGTATGAAAACACGGCGTTCTAGGTAGGCTATTTCGCTGCACGTACACTTTCGCAGTTCTATATTTTATTTCAGAAGCTTATAAAATATATAAATATGAAAATATGAATAACATATTAACATTAGACTTAGTATACATGACATGGCGATTTCGTGTTTGCAAATAATCAACTTTGAAACGATTGGGATTCAAACGACTGTAGCAACACTCACTACACACCTTGCACGTCGCTGGACATCTCTGTATATTTTATGGAACCAAAATTAAAAAGAGGCAAAGTAGATATAACCACTGTATTGTATGCAGTGTCGAGGGAACTTCGTCACTGAGGAATATATCACAGTAATATCTGTGTTAAATTGGAATTCAATGATAAATCATTAAACACGAAAAACGATTCTTAGTGAAAAATGACCTGTGAGTGCGTATAACTATAAATATATTTATATTTCTGCTATAGAAAATCATTAAACTTTCAATAATTTTACACATTAATTTAGATTAATGTTTACGGAAAACATCGCATTTGAAAATGTCATAGTGTATACAATATAATAATGTATACAGTGAGTTTCAAGTTATCATAAATAATTTTTTTGATTTACAACAAAATGACAAAACCTATTTTGTCGAAATAATTTGTTTGGTGTTTTAACAATTTCATTTTTCACAATAATTATGAAAATTACTTGGAATTTTTAATCAGAATAAATATTGTTGATGTTGAAAATCAAAGCATTTTTAATCAAAAAAACAAACCACAGATCATTATAAAATCAATACTTTCATCGCCTCGTTTCAGATTCTAAAACATATAGTCTACGCAGCCGAACTGAAATATAGTAAACACTGAAGCTATTTTTATTGTGCGTTTATTTAAGTACACTAATCCATTAAAAATAAATTCAACGTACAAATTTGGCCGTTTCACAAAATCGTTTGAGTGGCGTAATGACATTTGAATAAACCGTACGATATTCTGCGGAGAGAGGAGCGTAATATCAATAATTTACCTGCAGAGCTACCGCCTAACCCGGCTTGCAAGCCTGCAGAGTCATACGAGGTATAGGACGAGTGCTTCCAGACGAGTTGCTGCGAAACATCGCCGCAACGCGATTCGTAGAATATACGAATATGATATTTTGTACGACAAAAGTGAGCTCAGTTTTTGAGCTCAGAGTGAGACAAGCAATTTAGGAACCCCCCCCCCCCCCCCCGGTTCAGTTCTACGTGTAATTTTTTTTTTACACCAAAAAAAAAAAACAAAAACCAACGGTACTGCAGTACCTGTATTTTACAGGCATTTGTCGTATTTTTAACGTTTATCAGAACATCCGCTCGCATTTCATCACGTGTTGTTATGAGATAATCGCCACGAAACAACTTCAGACAACCCGTGCTGCTGAGATGTACTTGACTCGGCGTTGACGATAAGGACGGAGATACATAATATGATATAATATTATAATGATATTATCCCCACGGCGCCGGGGGAACCGAATCGTGCGATGGCGTGCGCGAGCGCACGACCGTGTGTGTGTGTGTGCATATACACACTTACATATATATATATATATATATATATATAGAAGACCACCGCCGCAAGCCCCGCCCCTACAACTAAAAGCTATCTGAATCAAATAAACCGACACGAAAACGCGCAGAAACAAGTCATAAATATATATATATGTGTATACAATATGTGCACGTCATCATGTATATATACAAAACTTACAGTCGAATAAGTCGTCGTCGCCTCCACCGCCACCGCCGCCGCGCGCGTAACCATGGCGAAAAGTTATTCGCACAAATCCATATATTTTGTACCGACGACGCCGCATCGTCGTTTACCCCCGCACACGCATATTATGATAATTTATGTACACAATATTTGCCGCCCATAACACCAATATGTCTGACGAGTTAATATTTATTTTATTTTTTTTTTTCCCCCGTCACTCTCGTTTGTCGTACGGCGACATTCGATTGTCCGCGATCTAAAACCTCGCGTTGCATGCGTATACGCGCGGCCGGATATAGATCAGGATTTTCGTCTGGGTTTTTAGTCTTTGTTTCTCTCGTTTATTTCGTTTCAACTACATTGTTTTATCATGCGATCATATCACTGCGCATAAAACACGTCCATAATAATATACCAGATAAATGCTTAATAAAAAAAAAATATAAAAGGTCAATTACTCACACCTCACCGCGATTAGTCCCGTATATTGAGTGCGTCTATACGTAACCACGTGACGGTACATAATGATAATTATTTTATGGACGACTTTTTTGTTTGACTGATGCAAACGAAAAAATATCGTTACCTATATCATATTATATCATAGTACGTAGGTATCCACTATCCAGTAAATCTTAATAAATTTAAACCTTCTCACAATATTTTATTCTGCCAGAGTACTAGACTAGAGATGATGAAAATCCCAGCAAACTATGATTGATTGTCTTACAACTTTTGCTACTTAGAGTTCTATTTATTACGGAATTAATATCCTAAAAAAAATACAATATTAATGATGAGAGTTTTAAAATTTTTTATATGTTTAGTTTATTTTGTATAAATTTTCTTTTCTTTAATTATTTATTAATTAACTGGTACTTGATTACTTCATCTATTGTTATATTTTACTTTTGCGAAATTATACATTTCAAATGTTAAATTAAAAATCATCAACTTTTAACACAAGCTTAACTTTTTGAGATTTTCAAATTTTACAACACACTAGGTATATATATTTTAATTTAAGTTAAAGATGTACTAATTAATTGAATATTTTGTTAAAAAAATATGTTATAATATTATTATTAAATTAACTAAATTTATCAGTGTAAAATGCACAATTTCTGTAGTTCAATAAAAGGATGAAAATAACTTAAATAAATATAACTTTATATAAATTTCCATAAAAAATAACAATCTAACTTCTTTCTGCAATCACATTACTACTCTGAGATGTATAGTTAACTATAAAATACCACATAACTCAGTTCAGCATTAAAAGACATCTGTGTCATGATCTATTAAAAAATTAACCAATATAAAATCAATAACTCCTGTAAGTAAAGTCTATCATTAGATGACCTCTATTTCTGTTAATAATTTATAATCAATCTTACATGTATTATTTTAACTATTTATTTTTATTTTTGTATAAGTTTATATTTTTATTAATTTTGACTAGGCCATAAATATTCAAAAAAATAATGTACTTAACCAATTTATAACTAAGTGAAATTACTTTTTTTTTATTCAAATTGTAACTTAACAAGCTAAAAATAATTAGTTTACTGTCCAATATTTATAATTTAAAAAACATGATCATAAAAAAATGTAATGTTAGATAAAAATACAACTAGACAAATTGTTGAGTCTCTATTACAAATATTTATTTATTATAGAAATATTATTTTTTCTGGTTATATTTCTAATATTTTCAAACTATTAAGTAATAATAGCTGAATAAGTTTGTAAATAAGTTCCAAAATAATCTCCAAACAGGTTTATCAAGCTCCGCTTTACTAACTCGCAAATAATTTAAGGCTGAAGAGTAATGTGAACATTTTAAATTATTATATGTATAGTACCTATTAAACTTTAATAACCACTTGATAGTGGTTAGGTAGCAAAACTTATTGATCTTTGTTTATTCTTTAATACTTTAACCACAATTATTATATTAAAAATATGAATATTTACTGTAAAACTATGTGTTGAAATACCATTCTAAAATAAATTCTCTTTTTTTGACATTTAATGACTATTGTCCATTTTTCTAGTTGAATTTATCCATATTTAATACATGAATACAAATTACAAGCAGAAAGTAGTTACCAATTCTGTTAATGGTTAACTATGGTTAGCAATAGGTTATTTTTTATAACTTAACCGAAAACTGTTCACCTTTTCTAATTCCATAATAAATTATTCCATTTTTTAAGTAGGCCCATGCCATTTTAGGAGAAGAAAAACCAATACCAACTTCCCCACTCTTGGAAATAACAATAGCTCCAGCACTGCCACCCACACGGGCAGACATACCATCACATGCTTTCTGAGCTGCAACATCTGGAGTTTCACCTAAATAATATAAATATTTGTAATAAATATCATAATTTTTAACTAATTAATGATAATTATAATTTATACCATTTTCCAAATTTTGCATTATTCTTTGAGCCAAACAATAGCGCATTATGCTGTCACCGTGGCCAGTAGTTGAAATAGTGCCCACATTATTATCACAGTAACCACCAGCACCAAGAACAGGTGTATCACCAACCCTACCTGCCATTTTGCCAGTGATTCCTCCTGTAGAAGTACATGACACCATATGCCCACCGTTTCTATCCATACCAATTGCACCAACAGTTCCAACACCTCCACTAAAAAACCAAAATATATTATATATTTTTAATAAAAATTGATCTTTACAGACATATATTATTACTGTCCAATTTCAGTAGTAATGGGTTCGCTGCCCGATTTAAAAAAATTGTCCAAGCCTGTTCTTGCATCACTTGTTATCAGATAATCATCACTGACAGTTTCAAATCCCATTTTTTGAGCAAACTCATTAGCACTTGCACCCATCAAAAATACATGAGGAGTATTTTCCATCACTTTTCTGGCTAGTGCTATTGGATGTGCAATGTTTCTTACACCAGTAACACTCCCTTAAATTAAACAGAAATAAATTTAAAATTCATCATCATATTATATGTTTGATATTAAATATTTCTCACCAGCCTTCATGTCTTTTCCTTCCATAATAAGAGCTTCCATTTCAATTTCACCCTTCAGATTTAACACTGATCCACGACCTGCATTGAATGCCGGTTCATCTTCCATGTACTCAACAGCGGCTTGACATGCATCCATAATAGATGATGTTTGTTTATAGATTGCATGAGCCTTTCTGATAGCAGTTAAAATTCCATCAAACTTTGGTTGATCACGATTGTCTGGTATATTTCCTGCTCCACCGTGCACAACAATCACTGGTTCAGACATTATATTTAAACGCCAGAAACAATCTTAAATACAATGATTTAATATCAACAGCATCAACACAAAATATTAAAAAACTAGATTTAGTACCAAAATATAAATGCAATGTAGGTGCAAAACTGTAAATGTATTTTTGTAAAAAAATCAAGTATAAATCATAATATTAAACTACTTTATACGTCTGTACATTTCATAAATACAGTAGGTAGTTATTCCTATGTTGTAATACTTGTAATCTTTATAACATATTTTCATTGTACTATACAACAGTAACAGTGGGTAATCTGTTTATAAAGTGTTACTAAATATTAATAATGCGATAAATAAGTACTATTAATACTATTTAAAAAAAAAATAATTTAAATAAACATTTAACAAGTTGTTTTATCTCTTATCAATTAAACTGTAAAATTGAATAATGAATGTGAGTAGTATTAACTTAAAAGTTAAAAGGACGCGAGACGATTACATACGTTGTCTTCGTTTTATAAACGTACAACATAATAAATATTAAATTTACGTTCGGTAGAACCAATTTATGTTGTAGCATAATATCAAAGAGCATTGACCTATAAATTATGATCAAACTTAAAGCATTGATTATGTATAACAAATAATAATGTTATTATACATAAATATATAATAATTAATTAATGCTTAAATGTAAGAAGTAAGAACATTATATGTTATCTCTCTTCACTGAAGAGTCTGTAGTATTTAACGATGTTTTAATTTTTTAAACATTCAATATGTATTACTATTATACCTTAAAAATGTAAAAATCGTTAAGCCCAACCAAAGATAACAGATAATTTTTGTAGGTACCTTTAAGTTTTATCATATTAAATATTAATCTTAGGTAGTTCACGCTCATATTAAAGCTAAAATCACAGAATCGATTTTACTGAACGCAAATTTGCCATGTTGATTATTTGTAAGACAAATTCAACACAATATGCGAGAGTAGCATTCTGTGAAGTTATTTTTACTTAATATAATGTACTATACAATATACATTGACCATAGGTAATAAACATACTTGATGGTTCCGATAATTACAGTTTTAGATTTCTAGTATATACTCAATAAAACATTACAATGCCAAATCATAAAACATTAAAATCACTAAATAGGTAGGTAGCCTAGCATAATATATACTTAGTATAATACCAATAATTACGAGTACATCTAGATATTTGCTATAATTGTTTCAGATTAGACAATTCAATTAAACATTAACATGAAATAATAAACGTTTTCTATCTTAACTTTGAATTTATAAACATAGGTAGCGTAGTAAAATAATTGAACCTACTGTTATGCAACATGGCCAACTAGAAGACTTGTTTTTGCCTTTTAGCAAGAATATATTAAACTTTAAAAATTGTATTTTTGCTTCTACAGAAATTTAGAAAAATTACATAATCAATATTCTCATACCTTAATTAATTAATAATAATGAATGTATTTTGGAAGTGTTTATTAAATGTAAATACCATATTCTTAAAGGAAAGTCCAGGGGCAAATTTCAAAATTGTAGGTATTACCACTATTACCTAACAGTAATGGCAGTATTATTTCCAGCTGTTATTCGTTAATTTATAACACTTGCACAAACAACCATACTCGAACAGTAACTCAGGAGTCAGGTTCGTTACATGTAATAGTTTGGTACAATTTTCGTTTTCAAACATCTTACAAATAACAAAGCAATCTTGATGCTATTTATAGCCATAATAAGATAATGTTGTTGGGTTTAATTCAGACATTTTACTAACAACTAATAACACAGATCGTACAAAATAATAAATAATAAAAATAAGAAAAAAATCAACTATTAATGGAAATTTTAAACAACACTGGAACAGATAAAACTATTAAAAAAAGTGACTGCAACTTAATTTAATCAAAAGTGAACAAAAATTACCTATACACAATACACATAAGGTTTCTCAAAAAGAACTGTTATACAACATACATATTTTTTCTTATCTCTAAATACAATTTAATTTATTATTACTTATATTTGTTATTAAAGGTGTTTAAGTTATTATTTGTTCCATAAAATATTACTTTGAGCGAATTATATTTGACAAAAAGTCTTTCATTTGATTAAATCCTTCATTTCTTATGTCAAAAAATACACCACTTTATTTTCCCAATTTATTTTTATAATTCTTATTTAATACTTGAATGTTTTACCTTATAAGCAAAATATTGTTTCTGCTTTTATCAACATTTTTCAATAAATACTTTTATAAATGAATCCAGTTTTTAGATAATATGCCCACTTCATTTTACTAAAATACCAATTAACTTTTTTAGGCATTTTCTGGGTAGTTTTTTTAAACACTAGGAAAATTTCAAATTATTGTCAAAAATAAAATACACAGTAAAATATTAACAATTTATCATTTTATACTTATTTATTATCAAAGACAAAGTGTTTACAAGTTTATTCTTCGGTTCCATCAACATTCTCCGTACCCAATTTTTTGAATGTAGGTACATTCACCCAGGTGACCAAAGTGTATAACTTGTGTGGTGAATCTTCATCATCATTTCGTCTCCTTGCTAATTGTACACGAATACGGAACGGTACACTCCTAAAATTAAAATAAGCTTACATTATAGAAAACAAATTATTAACTATGTAATATTATTAATAATTCAACTAATTTAAGAAAAATAAATAAAAATATAAATGTATTTATATTTAACTATTCTAAATTAATTTACACATAATAAACAATATATGTGATTTTAAAATTGAAATAATTTGTTATAATTAAATATTTTTAGGTATGAACTATAATAATAAAAATTTGTTTTGAGGTTATAGTCTTATCTACTCAAATCCATTTTATTAGGAATAATAAATTATTTATATATTTTATAATTTTACAAATAGATGATTATATATGTACAAAATTATAAATAATTAAATTCAGTACTTGATATATTTTTTTTGTAATTTATTAAATTTAGTAATCTAGTAAATAAATGTTGTACAACAACATTTCTTCATCATATTAGATATTCTTAAAAAAACTTCCATTAACCCAGATAACATTCAATCAAAATTAATCAGACTATCAAGGCTCTACTGTACTTGAAATGTTTTATACATAAAGCTGGACTAACAACGAAATATATATTTAAATACTATTTCATTGGGACTAGACTTAAATATATCTATATATTTATAATACATTTTGAAACAAATATTTGAAATTTGTTATAACAAAAAAGTAGCAATTTTATTGATAAATGCAATTTGATTTTTGTTTTTTTCTCAATATATTTCTAATCAACAAATACTGTGAGTCTCCATATAAGGAAATATACTTCAACAATCTGAACCATCAAACAAACTACTGTTTAGTGACAAAGTATCCAATATTTAAGAATTACATTGCACATAAATATCAAAACATGAATTTTAATACAACATCATGAATTAATAAATTTAGTTTCTATTTGTAATGAGTTTAGGTCTTAATTTTCTATATTATAATTAGTATATTAGTAATTATTTAAATACAAATAAGAATTATTTTTTTAACACACCATAACCAAATAGTACCCAATTTCTAATGATTAATCAAATAAAAAATATCTCTCTTCATAAACATTGATTTATATCCATAAAATATTATTTTAATTACTAGTGAATATTAACTTAATTCTCTTTATATTTTAATCAAATATTATTATTTTTATTAACTCACCAGACAGTAAAGTTAATAAGACAATTTTTAATAGTAACATATAAACATTAAACTTAATGTTTTATTATAATCTAGACCTAAAAATTAAATTAGAATTAAGAACTTATTATTGGCCTAGTGACAAATTATCTAACACAAATATTCATATCAGTGGAAAGACTTCAAATAGAAATTGATCTGATATTTAAATTAGATAAAACTAATAGTTAATGATATAATACAAACTATACAGACAAAAATATTTTACATACCTTATTCCTTTGGACCAGACGAACTTGTTCAACCTAGTGTCAATGCGCACATCTTGTGTGCCCATTTGTTGGGTGGCAAACTTGCGAATTTCTTTGATCGCACGGGGAGCTCGCTTCTTAAAACCAATGTTCAAAAGCCTCTTGTGCATGTTAATGGTATACACTCGAGTGACCACCTCATTGATCGCCGATTTACGTTTTCTTTCCCTAGTTAACTTGGCCATCTTATGAATTCGTCTGCAAGACTGCAACAAAACAACGAATTAGAAACATAAATAAAAATTTGGTACCTTTCACGTCAATTATCGATTAACTCTATCTGTTTAATAGGTGTTTCGACAGTAATCGGTATTAAATCTTTAATATATAAACTAATACATAATAAACACACTAATGAACAGAAACGTACGCAAGTACTATTATAACATCAAATGAAAAAAATAATATTTTTTACGGATAAATCAAACAAGTTCAAAGTATAAAGGTTTATTTATTATATTACCCTAAATACTTCTCAATTCTCAGCGACAAATAAATTATATTGACGTTATAGTAAAAGGATTGAGTTGGATAAAAAATTCAACTTACCCGAATCAGACGAGAAAGAACGAAGAATTATTTGCCAAAGAGACGAATTGTTTACAAAAATCTTTATACATTAACCTATAATATTTATTACCACATTTTACACGCACGTCGACGGTACAAAAATAAGTTTGGTCACACTGAAATCACTGATAACAGTAATTAAAAATGATAAAATAATATAGATTAAAATATTATCAATATTATCACCAATTGCCATAGGAATTAGGGATTATTAGGGATTAGATAATAGAAAATAGAAAATAGAAATATAAAATCCATGACCCCTATTTAACAATTTAAGACACATTCAAGTATCTTTGATCGTACCTAATATTTAAATTATTATTAATTATTAAAGGCATTAGAATCACTCTGTCATAACAGTCTGAAAATTCTGGAATGTGTGTTTTCGTCTTTCTAATGTAAAGATTGAAAAAAAAAATTAAATCAATGCTATACTGTCTGCTCAGAACTTTTCCCTATACAAATAAACGATACCTTTACAACATATCATTGAATTCAAATTTGATACATAAATACCTACATTAAGATGATTCACTTGAATCTCGACACCTGTTATACTTTAGTAGAGTCAGACCGATATAAGTACATTTGTCTATCTTTTTTTATGATCATGTATCTATTTAAAATAAAAAAAAATTCAAACATCGAAAGAAATCTTGTATAAAATTTTCAATGGTGAATTTTTTAATGGAAAACGATCAGTGGTTCAATTTGTGATAAGAAATAAGGTGATAACAAATAAAAACAATAACTGATGTCTGTTGCTTGACTTCAAATTTGATTTTGACGCCGGTTTTATAACAAAGTTACTGGTTTACATTAGCTAAATTACTGTTTTAAATGTTTTATTTTTAACATGAATGTTATGTAATCTCATTATTATTTAAATGTGGTAATAATGTTTCAATTTAATATAGTATCATCATTATAGATTATGGAAATTGATGGTAATGATTCTTTTGAAGAGAAATATCTTTTGGTCGCTAAAGCCGACAATGTTAAACACATTTCGTCTTTGTTGAAGGCAGTTAATTTTAAAGATGTGAGTTATTTATATAAATACATAATATTAATCTTAAATTATACTCTTTATCTAATTAATGACTTAAATTATATACTTTCATAATCAATAACTATTATTTCTTTTAAACTCATTTATTTATTTAACAAACACAAAAAGCAGAATATATTGAATTAATTTTGAATGCTTGTATAATGAATTAGTTGATAGCTAGAAAACTACAATATTATATTAAGCTAAAGAATTATTTAAAGTGTGGATGAATATGTTACAAACTTTCAACTATATATAAAAAGAGTGATGGGAAAGGGGGGAAAATACTAAAAAGTGAGTTTCTTGTGCAAAAATCTGGTACTCAGAATAAGATTGATTAGAGATCAAGAGTTTCAATTGAGCCTTTGACGAGAAAAATAATATAAAACATATTGGCATCAGTAACACCTTAAGACAAAGAATGCCTAAGAAAAATTATTAGCAAAGAAGTCATGAGAGTGGAGTGAAAACATAATGTATATTAAAAACTACAATATAACTTTAAATAAATCTATCAACATAATGTTACTATATAAATATGCTGTTTTTAGGTTGGTGTATGTTTTGCAACTGAACACGGTTTAAAAATTGTGGTAGAAGATTCCAAATGTGTACAAGCAAACACTTTTATAGGCAGTGAAATATTTCAAGTATGCTGTAGTATGTTGATGATTTTTTTCTTATGTGTATAAAGTACATAATCAATTTAATTTATTTTCCAGGAATATCATCTTAATGATGATACGGTTGCATTTCGTGTCGATCTCAATACTTTGATTGAGTGTCTAACAGTCTTTGATGGGTGTTCAACTAATCCTAGTTCTACAACTGCTTTAAAGTTGACGTACAAAGAATATGGTTCTCCAGTGAAATTATTGTAACTTTCTATAAAATAAAATAAATTAGCTATTACAAATTTGTATTTTAACCTTAGGTTAGAAGAAGGAGGTATAATTACTGACTGCTCATTAAGAACAATGGAAGTGTTTGATATCCTTGACTTTAGTATACCAGCAGAATCGACTGTCAGTAAAATTATATTAAGATCCTCGGATTTTAAGGACATTCTCAATGACATTGATGGCACTTCTGATTATGTAGAATTTACATTTTCTGAAGAGCCACAGTATTTTAAAATTTTAACTTCTGGAATCGCAGGAAAATGTAGTGTAAGTCTAATAGATTGAAAAACTGAACAAAATTATTACTTTCAGCACTCGATTATATTTGAATTTTTTTTAAGGTTGAAATTCCGTCCAAGAGTGAAATAATGGAGCAGTTTGTTTGCAATGCAACAATTACTGTTAAATATAAATACAAACAGATCAAACCTTTTTTAAAATGTATGAACATATCACAAAAAACATTGATACGGACAAATGAGGATGGACTGTTGTGCTGTCAATTCATGGTACAAGTAGACAGTCATACTTGTTATTTAGAATATTTTGTGAGTACTGTTTTTAATAAATTGTCTCGCATTAAACACTCATTGTATTATCATAACTAAATAATAAATCTAAATTAATGATATCTTATAAGTTACTAATTTTAAAACTGATTACTGAATACAATTTGTAAACATTTAACGGCCAATCAACCTTAAATATTAAATATTAATTATTATAAACTTTGTTTCAGTGCACACCGATTGTTGATGAAGACTGATGTATGAATTATAAACACGTAACATATTTGTTCATTTCATGATATATTACTACAAATTATTATTTGTTATTTTGTTACTTAATTCTATTTTATACAATCTATAAACTAATAAAAAAAATTATGTTTCTATAAATATTAAATATAGTACATTTTTGTAAATATCACATGAAAATATATATTATATTTTACTCCATGAAAAAAATAATCTTAATATTTTTTCTTCACACAATACAATTTTATATTTAAACCATTACTAGATTTTATTTATTATCATTTGTTGCCTGTCAGCAAATACTTAATAGTAAAATAAGTTAAAATTGTAAGTTTATAACATTTCCATTAATATTTTTATCACAAAATAGGTATTGTAAAGAATGGTAAGAATATAAATTTTATGGTTTATTAAAAACATAATTTTATATCAGAAAAATGTTTACTGTATTTTTGTAGTCTGATCAAGTGAAAAACAACAAATCTTGGATCATCAATTGTTTTTCAAAATTGAGTTCAAATAGTGAACACATATCTTCCATACCAATGAGAGTAGATTTTCTAAACCACTCGCTGAACATCTTAGCAGACAAAGTAAATGAATTCATTTACCTCACGCCTGAAACATACGTCATGCACTTGACTCTTAATTTAGGAATTTTATCATTTGATTCATGTCATCACGGAAAGTGGGTTCTAAGCTTTAGTGATGAAGAATCTGTAATGGATTGCATCAAAACATTGAGAAAAAATGACATTAAGGTGACAGACATCCAGAAATTTATGTCAGAAAGAATGCACTTGGAAGAAGTTATTAACAAAACAGTCACTATGGAAGGTTTCCCACATTTTGTAGCTGAAGTGGAAAATGCTATAAAAACAAAACTGTTTGATTATTAAAATTTAATTTAATCGAAAATAAGAGAATATATATAATATTAAAATGAATGTTTAACATGTCTAATTTCAAATCTTAAGTATATAAAGAAAATGTTTTTTTTTTATTTCTTTCCAAAAATAATTTGTATTTTCAAAATTTTCATGAATTTAATTAAAATTTGAAATTTAAAAGCTAATAGACAAAATATTCTGACTATTAACTTTTGTTTATTAATAGAAAATGAATCACTTTAAAAAACCTTGTATTGAATTTTCATTTTTGTCCATTGATAAATATTTATTGATATTCAAGTAAAAAAAAAATTTTAAATTAAATTGACTATAAATAGCTCAAAAAAAAAAAAATATGTATTATTTTGAAAATTATACCTTATAAAAGAAATAATAAATTAACCAACTAGATTTAATTTTCTACTAGCAACCCTCTCCCCCTATTTTTAAGAATCAAAGCATTTTTATTGCCTCAAAAGGTGATGACAGACAGAAAAAAAAACACATATTGCAAAATCAATAAATTCATTGCTCTGCTTCTATAATATTTAAATATTTAAAACCAAATGATTCTTCGCAAAAGATAAAAAATTGCATCGAAATAAAATTAACGAAATTTATTTTTAAATGTCAGCTAAAAGAACGTTTAAAAATACACGAATTAAGCGATAAGTCTATGAGAAATCGTCAAAACATTCTGTGCACACACTGAGAAGTTCTCATAGACAAAAAGTTTCACGCTCTAAATATTAATAATACGTTGAATGAATAAATTATTTTTCGAGGTAAAATTTATGGAAATTCAAATATACAAAGTGTCAACTACGTAAAAGTTTTAAACATCATAACGAAATTGTATAAAAATATATAAAAATGCAATGCAGAATCAGAGAACTTAAATTAGTTTCATTAAAATAAAACTTTTTAAACTATTAATTTTTAATATTATTCATCAAAAATAAATAATAAATAATTAAATAGAGTAGGTACTCAAAAATATCTAATTAATATAATATTATTATTTTTTGTATACTTTATAATACATAGATATAAACTACAGAGTATACATTTTTTTTCTAGTTAAATTATACATATATACTGATAATTGTCTTCATACTTCATACAGATTATTATCTTTGCATAAAAAAAGTAGTTGACAAATTAAAATTAGCTTATTGTAGATTTTATAAGACCTTCACTATTCTACTACTACTCGAACTTTAAAAATACCTTTCACACTAACTATAAATTAATCAAATACCTAAATAAAAACTAAAAGATATGAATTTTTCAATAATCCATTCTTAATAATTACTAATTATTATAAACATATTTTTTTGTCCGTGTAACAATAATTAAATGACTAATTAAAAACAAAGTTTCATCAGCGTGATTTAGCTAATTGCTTTTATCTTGAAATATTTTACAGGTCTTGTAAAATGTTAAAAAAATGTATAATATTAAAATATACATTCATTGTTCTTATATTGTATTATTTTGTATCTGTATATATTGTATAAAAACTACAACAAAAGGAATCCAATGGTAATGTTAAATTTGAGGACTATTCGCATAATTGTATGTGTATACTGAAAACTGTTTATTTGCAATAAAAAAAATAATAAATATAGATGATTAAAATATAAAACAGATGCGACTAGTAAATCGCTAAACGTATTGTTAAAAGTAAAATATTAAAACGATACAGATATAATAAACAGGTCCTTTAAATTTGTCGCGTTTACAAACTAAAAACATATTTGGTGTTCAATAGACTGAACATTTTAGGTATGTAAAAAGCTGTTTTGAACAATATACTTCGTAAAAAAAAATATATTAAATCAAATTTTCTCTTTTCCCTTTGGAAAAAAACTTGCGATATCGATCGACTTATATTAAAACTCATAAAAAGGACGATCGGGTAGGTGATCGGTTTATGTTCTTGGTTTAAATGATTAATGATAATTGATAAGCTACGAGCTTCTGTTAACGGCAATGCGGCATTCGATATACATGTATAATATAAGATTTCTCGAGTTCAGTTTGAACAATCTGTATAAATAATTAATTATAATTTTATATAGGTACTGTGTACGAGTGTAATAGGTAGCGTATATGTAATATGAAGTGTTTAGTGCTGTGCTCTAGAGTTTGATGAAGAGCTTAGAGCAGTCACTGTTTGGTACAGAATTGAATCCCAACGGATAAGATACATAGCTGAACATTGATTAACATTAATATAAATAAAAATAATAATATATTTAATATTTTAATAATCGCTTTAATTTAATCACACAAATTTAAAATGAAAAATATTTAAATTCTGTTAAGCTTTATTTATAAGCTTGAAAAATTAATTAACATAATAGTTACGAGTTTATGTTGTTTAATTACAAAACATTTTTATTGAATATTTAAGTCCATATTTAAGCATAGTTGCATATTGCACATTCAAACATTTTTTAGTCCATACATTTACAAGCCCTATTAAAATTACATAATATTAATTATTAGTATTATTATTATAATCGTTGTTTTACCTAAATACCTAATTAAATATGTTACCTGTCTATAAATTTTGTTTCAACAATCAAAATATTGAACGTAATCGTTTATAAAAACGTGAGAACGATCGATGGACGTAGAACTTGTCGACTTAGAGTCTGCTTACCAAGACCCGAACTTCGTTATCGCGAAACCGACAACAGAAAACGGGAAAGAAGTGATTGCACGTGTCTTATTTGATTTTTCCAGACAACTTAATGTTTAGCCGTCGAACTATACACAGCAGCAGAAATTGTTTGCAATCTTGCGCTCTTCAATAATAGAACCACTACTCAATAATTATTTGCTTGCAGGATATTTATTATTCTGGGAAATAACATACACTATGGTCTCCGCATCTATCGCCATATTCGTAAAAAAGAGATAAGAGGATAAAAATCGATTAGGCTCAATTGCGACTTTCAGTTAGTTATGGGAAGTGATGAAGCCAAAACCTCGAATCGCTGAGACGATTATATCTCGATATATTAATCAAAAATTCAAAACTGTTCGACTACCTAAATACTCGATCAAAGAACGACCACGAGATTCACCGAGTTCCCGTCAGTCAGTCATAAACTCATAACCATTTTTTTACGAGTGTAGATATATAGGCGATGGTAAAGTGACCGTATATAAAGACAACGCATGACATATTTTGAGAACCACTGAATAAAACTGATTAATAAAAATTGATTTCTTACATCAATATTGGAAAAAATCAACATAATTAAAATTAAAATCAATAAAATAAAATAAAAACAAACCATCACATATAATAATGTGTGGCCATGTGGGGAGGAGGTTCATTTCGGTAAATGGGTTTTTAAAATTAGTGATAAACCATCTGTAGTGGAATGCTTTGAAACATTGAGGAAAAATGACAATAAGATCAGATTCAGAAATAAATATCGGAAAGAATACATTTGAAGGATATTATAATAAACATAGTCACCGATGTAGGTATCTTACAATTTGTAGATGAAATGGAAAATGCCATAAAAACAAAACTGATTGATCATTAAAATTAAATTTAATCAAAAATAAGAATAATAATATAGTTATAATATTAAAATTAATATTTTACATGTCTAAAATACTAAAATGTAAGTATTATTTCATGTGTTAAGTACCTATATATTAATAAAAAATAAAATCTGTTAAAATCCACTACAATAGTAAAATATAATATTAAAAAATTATAATAAATTACACATTATTTTTTTATTAATTAGTTTGCAACACAACTAGCCTCTTCGTTCACAAAAAAATGCTCATACACAAATGTTTTCTATTATAATATTAAAGCAAATATAAAAAAAAAAAAGAAACAAATTACATTACACCTTTTGGGTTTTCAGTCTTGGTAGGAGTAGAGAAAGGATTTGGGCATACCGATTTGACCTATATCAGAGTACTTGTTAGAAAATAATACTATATAAATGGAATAACTTTTATTTGCGGGGAGAACGACTTGTGTTGAGCATTGGTAGATCTTCGTCTTGTGAGTCTTCTTCCAGTCGATTGTTTCCATTGCATTCTCCGTTCGATGCACTGTATGTTTCTTCTCTGGATGCTTTCATTTTCAATATTTGCAATCGTTTCATAAAACCATCAGCTTCACTTACAGTGGCACACTCAGGTTTACGCATTGGCATAGATGTGATTGGTTTTAGACTGTCATTATTTCCTACACAATAAGCATAGAGGAATATATAAGTGCTAAAAAAACAATGATTAAGCTAAAAAGAAAAAGTTCAATAATATTACCATTAGGTTCAACTAAACAGCTTTTTAAATTGTCTTCAATTGCTGACAGTTTACGGTGAATATAATCTTGAAAATATTTTGTAGTTTTAGAAATATGTGGTTCTATGTCTATATTTGGATGCTTTATTTTGAATCTATGCAACTGTTGTATGCCCTATTAAAAAAATACACAATATATTGTATTTAAAATAAAGTGTTCTAAGACTTGTACAAAAATATAACTCTGTCATACAGAATATACCACTAATTAATCATTAATTTCTGACATACTACATAATTGTTTTATTAACTCACTTCATCAGTGTTTTCATGTTGACTAATTAGTTGGAATATATCAGATAGTTCGTCATATGGAGTTCGATGTTTTCGTTTACTACTTTCAGGTCTAGGTTCACTGTTCAGATGCTATGAATATATTAAATTGACATTTAATAAATTACATGGTGAACGATGATCAAAGTAAATATTTATAATTAACAATTTTAATAGTTACCCTTAAAAGTTTATGTATGTAAACAACCATTTCTGAATCTTTTGGGAATTCTGGACTAGCTAAGCTTTCCAATACTTTATCACTACGTATTTTTACCATAGTGTGAAGAACAGTTTTACATGTTCTTAGTGGGGTGTCAGATGGTTGTTTTTTCCAATGCTTTGAATCAAACTCCTTGTTAATTTTAAAATAACAATTTATTAGAAAATGCAATATTAAAAAAAAAAGATA